GAGAATCCTCACCGACTCGGATGATTTGGGGTTCTTTACCTCCTGAATAAGGTTGGTAACCACTCCAGAAGCTTCTTTGGGACAGACCGTCGACAACGCTGCTACACATTTTGCCACAGAGTAGTAAGACTGTTTATGCACAGACATGGAGTCAGTCGACTTTGAATCGTAGTAAGGCCCTCTCAAGGCTTTCAGGAGGTCACTGTAACTCATGTTGTTGGACTTTGTTGCTACAAGGACCTGGAAGAACTCAAGTATTGAGTTAAGAGCACCTCCTTGTAGCAGTGGAGAGTGGACTAAGTTAATCACTTCAGGTAAGATCGTCCCCCCAATTTTGCTCAAAGAGGACGGACAGACTTTGGCCATACACGTGATCAGCGTTATGGCTACCTGTGAGATATGCATATCACTCTCCTGAATCAAAGCCGGTACCTCACTCAGTATGGACTCTATCATGAGGGGCTTGAAGCTGTCGCTGTAGTTTGTGACCATCACATTCAAGGCTGTTATCGTGTTCAACTTAAGGGCTCGCTGGTTTTTCCGCAAGAAGGATCCAAGCATTGGAATCCCCTCTGTTAAAATGGGTCTTAGGTCAATTTTAAGTGGCGAGGAAGCGACAAGAGTTAAAGTCTTCACTGCGATAAGCCTGGTGATTTCATTTTTAAGCCTTTCCAGAAATATCTGCAAGGTGGGCTGCAGGTCAGCACCAAGCTGGTCACCCAAATGACTCAAAATGTGGCCCATGCAGAAAATGGCCCGCTCTTTCACTTCTTGGTCTATGTCGGCTGCCTTCAACCTCTTTGAGGTGCAAGCAAACACGTCCTTTATGTAGGGCTTGGCGTCGAAAGAGACAGGCTTGTCCAGCGGCCGCATGAGCTTGACAATCTGCTGGGTGACTTGGAGAGCTTCAGATGTGATTTTATAAAACGGGTCTTCGACACATTGGATCACCGCTGGTAAGATGACATTAATGTGTGGGTGGAAGATCTCTGGGTTGTGGCTACTCAAGAGAACATTGAGGAAAGTAAGGGCATCAATCTTCATATTTGAAGAGGTCGACTTGTCTGTCAAGGAGTAAATAATACCTAAAGAGAGAGAAAATCTGAAATGAATATATACACTGAAAATGATATGCTACAGAACTGGTTAAAGAGTGCAATTGGACGCAAAAGATCAGGTATTCATTTATTACAATAATATACCGATTAAGTGATTAAACTCAACAAAGTAAAGACCATCATTGACATTGAATAAATTGGGTTGTAATGGTTTTTGGTGTGCCACACCAGTCATGGTGTAGACAGGGTTATAGCATAGCATTTAATGCTAAATATCTTTTAATCTAACCTGGAATGAGGGCAGGTATGTGCTCTCCTAGTTGACTGGGCAGCACATTAGCCATCTCTGTCAAGAGACTGAAGCAACCTTGCCTACTTCTCAAGCTCTTCTCCTTTAGCTGTCGGTGTAAGGCTTTTACTATTGTCGGTACCTGTAAAAGCAGATGAGAGCTATTTTAGGAGATATGCACCAGGTAGTTTGGGTCAATAACCTGCACACAACCATACCTGTTTCTTCAAGAGAGAGACCGCTGGTTCCTCTTTAGCTCCTGTGTCCAAACTGGGGCCGTGAGGGTGCCTGGTCTGTCTGAGCAAAGCCACAAAGGCTGAGAAAATGTCAGTCTTAACATTCTCCTCACGTTCTTTGAAGCGGGACACCAACGTTGGGCCTACAGATCCATACAGCTCCACCAGCAGATCCCTGCGGCTGCTGATTATCGCCTCCAGACATTTCACAGAAGAGCGCCGCACCTTCCAGCTCATGTCCTCGTCATCGCTGTACTCATCATCAGACTCTATAGATTACAAGTGTGTTGACTGTGGAAAACACACTCAGAGTGGGCAGCACTACATCCGACATCTGTTTCATCTCATAACTAGCTAGAGAAACTTTGTATGTACCATTAGTAATGATTTTTAATTCTTTCCAAAAATATCTTATTGGTGTATGCCTAATGGAATTATAACTCCTAAAACTGCACAATGATGGTCAAATAAATCACCCTGATCTTCATCCTCTCTTTCCTCAATGTCCATACTGTCATCCTGGTCATCGTCAACATCGTAGTTGTAATTGGGGTCGTAGGTTATGTACTTCAAACTCAACTTAATAATTGTTGGGATGTGAGGCGACATTTCCTTTGGACATCTGACAAGAAAGAATTTCTGACTTAATATCTGTCTGACATTCAAGTTGAATGATGTCATGATGAAAAAGCTGATGAAAAAGTAATAAACCAAATAATGTAGAAGCAGTTTTACCTGCTAACAAAAGCTTCGAAAGCTTGAAAGCAGAACTCGCGTAGCTCATCATCTTCCACGTTACAAAACTTCACCACCATGGGTACAAACTTTTCCAGGTGTTCACCTTCATTTCATAAAAGACTCAATATTAATACAGCAACCATGTCATATTCATCATAATTTTTAGTATGTTTGTGTCCGATATCGCTCCACATACCCTTAACTAGGGCAATATTTCAAGGGACAGCCATTTCTAGTGGTGTCGAAACCATGGTAGACTTTATCAAGTGCAGTGCACTCATTCAATCCCATAATGCACCGCAATAATGAGTACAACCGATGTATGCTCTACAGCTAGAGAATACTCATAATGTACAGTGCGCTACCGTCTGACCAGAAGATGGCGCCGCAGCTGAATCATCCATCCATCAATTGTACTGGTCCGATGTGGGTGCAGCATAATACAGGTATAACTCCTTAAATTGATTATTAAATTGTTTAATTAAGGTTTATACAAGCTAGTTTCCATGACAGAGTTCTTTAATCCTAGCCTACTACTGGAGCTGCCAGTTTGCTAAGTTTCAATGATCATTAAACAGCAAGCACAAACTATGCAAAGCGGCAGCCTTTCCAGCACTCAGTGCCCGAACTCGCTCATTTGTTTTCATCCACTCCTTCAAGTGGAGAATATTAGTTTCGAAACACAGCCAATGTTTTAACATTTAACATTAGTCTCTTCAGCTCACTCTGCTGGTCACAGCATAAATACTACATTCCCTTAAAAGCAGCTCTCACCAATTCTGTGTCCTCCTCGTCTGCTGACCGTGGCCAAGCACTGGATGTACGTACGCACGTTGGCGGAGGGCGGCCCGCGGGACAGCTCGCCCATGAGGTGTTCGGTGAGCTGAGTGAACAGAGCAGGGCTACAGCTTGGCACCAGGTGACCCAGTGCGATAATAGAGCGCTTCCTTACAGCCATACGAGGACTCGTGAGCTGGGCGAGGAGACCGGTCAGAATCGACTGATGGAAGCTCACCAGAGCAGTGCTCAACCTGTCAAATAATGCATTAGGCTGATGGGGGGATGCTCATAAACCCTTTGCATGCAAGTAAAAGGCATTTTGACGAACCTGCCCAACATGTCAGAGAGAATATCCAAAGCCTCCAGCTGAATGGACACGTCGTCTTGCATTCCCAATGCTCCAATCAGCTGGGACGTGATCTTCCTACAGACGTTGACTGTGAGGCTCAAACCTTGAATACAATACAACCATTATAACCAAAGAAATCCTAAAATGTCGGAAATCTCTATAGTATCAGCATGATACCAGTAGATGAAGATGGCAGTTCAGCGATGACGGTCTTCAGGCCCATGCTGGAAATGTCCCTCAGCTGCTCTTTGTTGGACACCATGTTGGAACAGAGAGTGTCCACCATCATCTCCACCTGACACTCCTTCACTTTTCCCACTAGAGGACCAAGACTACACGAACCAGAAATAAATGTGATTATTTCATCACGTTGATGTTCGGAAGAAAATCTGAGTGAGAAGATACCATTTGACGGCCAGATTCTGCACTTCTCCGTTTTTGTCTTCCAGGAGTTTGAGGAGCATGGTCACGACTTTCCTCTCGCTCTCCTCGTCCAGTTTGATCGAGTCCTTCTGGAGCTCCATCATCAGGTCATTGGCTGCCATAAACCTTTCATTTGTTTCAGCAAAGTGCTCATCAGTTTTGATGTTCTTCACCATCACATTACTCAAATAGCATGGCACATGCCCAAAACACACGGTATTGCCATGTAAAATACTAGCAAGAAAGTAGTACTTAGCCTAGTTAGCAAAATTGTTTGGTATGGAAACCCATTTCTACCACATAAAGAAAAAAAAAAACAAGCTTTTGTGAATCATATTATGTGATGAAAAGTTGAAATGACACAGTTTGACATACAAAGTCGAAATTATGACATTAAAAAGCTGAAATTGTTAAAAAAAAAGTTGAAATGACATACAAAGTCATTTGTATACCGTAGTTATGTCAAAATTATGACAGAAAGTCATCAACTATGAACTATTTCATATGACACTAGTTATGACGAAATCTTTTTTTTTACGTTTTGTGTAATAAATTATGACGATGGATTTGATTTAGTATGTGAACATAAGTTAAGTTACAAGTTCGTTTTCAGTAGCCGTTATTTCCACAGCAGTTTTTATTTACAAAAGTGGCAAATGTTTACTCCATTTCACAATTTTTCAAAGGGTTAATACAAATCTGAAAATGATAATTTAAGCCACAGAGATATAAACTGCAGGCAGTTGCTTTGTCATTGGCCTGTATTTTTGTAAACATAAGTCGTGAGTCTGAAACATGCGTCTATAACACACACACACACACTGTCTTACCGAAAATCTTTGTCAGTTGATGTCATTTTTTCCAACAGATTGGAAATGTAAAAGGTGACATTCGACATCTTGACTTTTTAAAGTGTGCTAACGTTACTTCACTGAATGACGATGTAAAAATTACTACAGAAAGTTGAGGTTGATGAAGATCATAGCGCCTGGCTGGACACTGGACAGACTGGGACATATGACACTCTCGGACAGTTATAAATAGAGATTTGGGCGATATATTAATTTAACTCGCTTTGCCGCCTTCTGCTGCAGTCAGTGTGAACTGCAGGACGGGGAAGTAAGTATCGAGCGGAACCTTTTTTCTGTTCCACCCGGAGACTTTAGCAGGAGAAACACAGTCGGCACTGAGCGGTCAGTCTCTGCCACGTCGGAAATACTATCAGTGTTTTCATATCTGAAGAGCAGAAGAGCAACTAAAGACGTTTTTTGAGTTGAAGGAGTTTGTTGGGAGGGATATAAGCAAATATGGTGAGTGTTACATTATTGATATTGTCAGATATTTAAGTGCTCGGATTCTATAGTTTCAAAATGAATGACCGGATGGAAAATTAAATGCATTTTACATGTCTGATTACGATATTAAAGCTGTTTAAAGAACTATTTAGATGTAGTTCGATGTTCAACTCTATAAAAACAGCATGTTAATATATAAAACAATTATCTTTGATTATGTTATTACTGCTATGTTTTGTACGTTGCCATTTTCAGTTTTTTCACTATTATTCTCAGTCAGTTTTAGCTGTCAACTATTTTGTTTTCTTATATTTACTGCTGTAAATTTATTTAAATATTGTGTCCAGTTAATAACTTGAAAAATTATTACAAACCAATAAAAAAAACGAATTAAATAATTGCTCATATCAGTATTAAGAAAAATACCCCAGAATAATTCATAAAAAAATGTGTGTGTAAATACGTCAATTTTTGAGGCGGACTCATGTCATAAATTCATATATTACTGTTCATTCATAATTTGTAAGAAAAAAAACAACAACGCTAAAATATCTATTAAGGAGTCTTATTCCTTTCCAACTGTATATAGTTTGTCAAGACTAGATTAGGATTTAATAGTATATTTTTTTTACGGGCAAGTGACAGTTAAGTTGTTAAAGTTAAACATTATTAATGCTTTTTTTCGACAAATATCAGTTTAACCGACATCTCCGCACATCTGTGGTCTTGTGTGTTTCAGGTTTCGGTCATTAACACAGTGGACACCTCACATGAGGATATGATCGTGAGTATCTCCATCCATCTTGCCTCCATCTTTATTTCTACTTCATCTTTTTCAACATTATAATATGTCTGTGATTTGTGGTTGTGTGTTCAGCATGACGCTCAGATGGATTATTACGGCACCAGACTGGCCACCTGCTCCTCTGATCGCTCTGTGAAGATCTTTGATGTCAAAAACGGAGGGCAGATCCTCGTGGCTGATCTGAGGGGGTGTGTGAACCACGTAACTAAAACTAGGGTTTCCGTGGAGTGGATTTTAACTCTAATTCTAACTCTGTTTTGGCAGCCACGAGGGTCCCGTGTGGCAGGTGGCCTGGGCTCACCCCATGTATGGCAACATCCTGGCGTCCTGCTCCTACGACAGGAAGGTGATCATCTGGAAGGAGGAGAACGGCACCTGGGATAAGATGTATGAATACACAGGCCATGACTCGTCCGGTAACTTCACGCTTTTTGATTCTCATTTCAAACACTGTGACAGAAATGCATCCCGCTGTGGACAATCACACATTCGCTTCTCCTGCAGTGAATTCTGTGTGCTGGGGACCGTATGACTTCGGGTTGATTCTGGCCTGTGGCAGCTCAGATGGGGCGATTTCAGTGTTGACCTGTTCTGGAGATGGACACTGGGATATTAAGAAGATCAACAATGCACACACAGTGAGTTTAAAATATACATATACAGGGCTCTAATTATGATTTGATTAATTTAATTTAAATTATTTTAATTAAGAATGATTAGCCGTCATAATGCATTCAAATAAATGGCAACACCTTTGCATTCCCGGGTCTTTATAAAAAAAAAAAAGTTTATAAAATCATAACTTATCATAACTTAACCATATTTGTGTCAAGCACTTCGGTAACACTTTTTAGTGTAATAATTTTAATGTCCTTGTTATACGTTACATGTTGTTACTGTAGTAGTAATTATAAATTATGCATAATTACATGCAACTAATCCTAATTATTTTTCAGTACTTTAATCTATAATTACACTGTAACATTGACACTGACAAAGTGCAACTGAACTTCTCATTAACTAGTAAATATAGCAAAAAATATAGCAAAAAAACTATATTTTTGAGTTACAATGTTATTACTATATTATTACTTTGTCATAGCCTTTTACATAGGGACGCACGATTTATCGGCCAGCATATCGGTATCGGCCAATATATGTTCATTTTTAATGTTATCGTTATCGGCCTGGTAAGAAAATGTGGCCGATATATATTAAAGCCGATAAATAATGTATTATTCCCTTCAGCTGAGACACTTGTTGAGCACTGTTTATGTTTTTGAATTTCTTGAAATATGATTGAAATCTCTTCAAAAAATGAAAATACGGTTCGGTACAACATGCGCAGCGCATACAACACTATAACATGGACATGGATTTAATTGTGAGACTTTTGTTTTTGTAATCAGGCTCTCAAAATTAGATAAAAATTTGGATTTAAGTTTATCGGCCGATATATCGGTTATCGGCTTTCAAATATAAAGAATTATCGGTTATCGGTATCGGCCAAAATTTTCATATCGGTGCATCCCAACTTTAGCCTGGTTCAACCAGACTCTAGTTCATTTCATTTCCACATAGAGTCTGGAACCGCTCCATTGAAAAACGTTTTCTTCCTTGTAGGCGGGTTCACTATTAAAGTTCAAATCTATTGGATCTGCCCAAAGTCACTCACGATCTGCCATAGCCAATCGCTAACGGGGTGTCGTGAGTGACGTATGTCACGCGCCGAAATGGCTGGAAACAAAAAGTCCGAATGATCAGAGGATTATGTTTACAATAGGATTTCAGTCAACGAGAACTGCAGGTTTTGTTAATCTAGGAACAATTATTAATTCGAAATGTATATTTGACACGAAGGACAGTGATATTTTCATTCAACGGTGGAAGCTGTGTCTAATCATTACAAATGCGCCGCTGTGGTCGTTTTCTGATCTGCCGCAAATGCTGTAGCAGCTACAGTGAATGATCAGTCTGTCTCTATCTGCAGATGTGTAATAAACAACTATTTTTCATATTACGTCTTATTGTTTCTTAATTACCTTAATTATGGTCTTCAAAGTATGTGTTTGTACATTTTTAGTAAAACAAATCAACCATTGCCATCTAAAACTGAAAATCAAATATCTTCAAAGTATGGTTTTTCACATTTTTATTTATGACAATTATTTTTTTTAAATCACAACCAATTTGTATGATTTACAACATGTAAAACTGATACACCAACCTCCTGTACGAGTGCACAAAGGGGCTCAAAATGTTCTATTCATCACAAGAATCAGTAAATATACAGTTGGGAATATGAGCGACTGACATGACTCCTGAGCGGATCTTCAACAATAGTTTAGCAGCCAGGACTCGGGGCTTCCGAACACCGCGAACACCAGGCTAAACCGTCTGTCCAAAATGTCACGGTCATCGTGCACGAGCTGCCCAGCACAAACTTCCAAACTTTCTGCCTCCTTCACTTGGTCCTCGGTTGTGCAACAAGAGGTTGGACGATAACAATCCGGATGCCAACAACGGACCGAATAGCTTTTCTCACGTCTTTCTCCGCTGCCATTACTGAATTGAAACTGATGCGCTTACATCAACGTCATCTTTCTCAGCCACTCCCTCTATTCGCTGATTGGTCCTACAAAAAATTGGTTTCTGGAAACCTAAGGATATGGAGCGATCCCAGACGTAGTACAGAAGTAAAATGAAATTGAGCGGAAGTGCGTAGGAGGGCGCAGCCAGGCTATCCCAACTTTTACACTTTTTAAAAATAGGAATTCTTTGAAATTTCACATGAACTACAGCAAGAAAGAAATATTGCAGAAAAGATGCAAAAACATTATTAATGAAAATGTGTATTTAATATTTATATAGATGCCTGATCTGTATAGGCTCTTTGGGAAATTCTAAATCAAATATTTGATTATTTGATTGCCGATCGGACAATACAGTGTTCTAGACGTGCAATAAAGAGGCTTCAGTCGAGTTATGAGTATGTCATACAAGACTGGCGAAATGTATTGTACTTCCTGTTATTTGAGTTCTTTTTCATGGTTTCTCTGGTGTTTGTGGCAGATCGGCTGTAACGCTGTAAGTTGGGCCCCAGCTGTTGTCCCAGGGAGTCTTATTGAGCAGCCAACAGGACAGAAGCCCAACTACATCAAGAGATTTGTGTCTGGAGGCTGTGACAATCTGCTCAAGCTGTGGAAGTGAGTGTACTCCTTATTGTAGCCCGACCGATAAAGGATTTTGAAGGCTGATACGATACGAATATTTTTGGGTTTTAAAATCCGATATTCCGATATATCGACCGATATTTTATGTCATGCTTATTTGAGTTTAGAGAACTGATGGGGATGTTCTTTTAATTGTTATTCAAGCAATGTATGTATCGTGACCAACTCAACGAGTGTTGCCAACAGGAAAGGAGTAGAGTGCCCTCTGGTGGACAAACTATACAACTCCAACACTCATGACATGGTTCAAGCGTGTTTCGTCCGTTTTTATTTTATTTTCGAAATATTCATTTATCAGCCATTATAACTGCTGATACCGATAGTTTGGAAAATGCCTAATATCGGCCGATAATATCGGTCTACCGATATATCGGTCTGGCTCTACTCCTTATTTTAGAGTGCACAGTGACGAGCACCTGCTGTCAGCTACTACACTTGCTCATAAATAGACCAATATATATATATAGGCTAGTTTTATTTTCTACATTGTGCTGATAGTGCTACATTCATACTGTTTCTGATAGCATTATCAAATTAGCCAATAATATGTTATGTGCCCTAATAATGCTCTTTTAGATGTTCATAGTTTCAGCCCTCTACAGTGCAAATAAATCACTCGCACATGCGACTAAATCTTCACTTTGAGCGACTAGAATAATGTCTATCATTAGCTGGCCATTAGATAATTATCATTATCATTAGTTTAGCATAGATATATTTTCACTTGAGTTCGCTCTCCATCAAGTGTTTTTGTACTATTTCAGCTCAGCTTAATGGATGAGCATAGATTTACATTCATCAAACGTCGAGAGTCAAGTTTCAAGAGTCTAAAAAATGCTTTGTTTCAGGAGACAATAACTTTATTTGTCAAATTATGTAGTGACATTCATACTTTCTTCTCAGAGAAGAGGATGGCCAGTGGAAAGAGGACCAGAAGCTGGAGGCACACAGTGATTGGGTGAGAGATGTTGGTTGGGCTCCTTCCATTGGTCTGCCCACCAGCACAATCGCCAGCTGCTCACAGGTAATCACAACCAAGTGCTTTACTCGAAATATTCTACTGTGGGACTTCTCCAGTACCAATGTGAACGATAATTGTGGTAAAAACAATTCAAGTAGATTGAATACATTTTTATTTTATTTTATTCCTGTAGCACAAACAATAGAGCACAGCAGTAGCAACGCCAAAGTGGTTTTGGTTTCATTTGTTAAAATGGTTTGTATAATGGTGTTTGCCAAATTCATAAATCTATAGGATGGTCGTGTGTTTATCTGGACGTGTGACGACCCAGCCGGTAACACCTGGACGGCCAAACTTCTCCACAAATTCAATGACGTGGTGTGGCACGTGAGCTGGTCCATCACAGGAAACATCTTGGCCGTGTCAGGAGGGGACAACAAAGTACGTACCTGTCAAATATGACTCTAGATTTTGAATTTAATGTCATCACTTATTCACACTCTTATTTACTGTCACTTTTGATTAATTTAATGCATAACTTGTTGAATAAATGTATTAATTTTATACTAACCCCCATCGTTTGAACCGAAATCTCCAAAACTACCAGTAAGTAAAAAAATTACTAAAAAATTTTTTTTAAAGTAGGAACAAACAATAGTGTAGTTAAAAAAGCTTTTGAATAATTATATATAAAATATTTTATCATTTTAATTTTATCCACCAAAGCAGTTTTTACCCAAATATATTTTACTTGCATACTAATTTTTGCTTTTTAATACATGCAGTTTTGACGAAGTTTTCACCTTTTCTGCTATTGAAGTTTAAATAGCAGGCGGTATTAGACAATAGACAAGGATGGATCATCAAACCAGTCTAATGACAAGTAAAAATGTGATATTAAGGCTGTATATATATTTAGCGTATGTCAAACTCAAACGTGACTCAACCGGTCACCAACCAAAGGACAGGCCGTGACTGCGCTTTGACATTGTGATTCATTGCCCTTTCACCATGAAACTAATGTTGACACTCTTTGGCTGTCGTCAGTAAAGATGCTTCCGTTGGAGCATGTTGGACAGCGATTTACCCATCATTACTCATTTCACAAGTGAAAATTAATGACTGAGGTTATATCACCCAGCACTCGGCCCTGCGTGAGGGAACCCGTCCCTGACGTCACCGCTTATTTAAATAAAGACTCCTGGTTGTTGCGCTTTCTGTGAGATGCTCTGCCTTGTAATTATTCACTGCGGCAAGCGGCGGGTCAAGCCATTTACCCGCCGACGAACATGCCATTATCTGATGCATTTATAAAACCGACAGCTTAATAATGCAAAAGGGCTTTGAAGAGACACACAGGTTAAATACAGTCATCTCTAGGTGCTTCTCGGGAGCTAAAGTAAGCACTTTTTTGTTTTGTTGTTAGATTTATTTTGAGATTTTTTTTTTTTTTTTTTTAACTAATGGTGTGTATCACAGTTTGGTACAGGCATCTCCGCATCTCCTCAGAGCAGATTTGTGTGTGTGTGTGTGTGTGACTGGGGTATTCCTGACGCTGTTTTAACTCCTTTACACATTTTATAAGCTCTTCACAAGTTCTCAATATCTACGCACATACAGCGAGTGCATTTAGCCCAGCACACAGCATTCATTTGGGTGTTCAGAAAAAAATATGCGTAATATAAGCCGACCGGCCGTCAGGTTGTGAACGTATCCCTATTCATTTAGGTTCGGGATCTTGAGTTTCGGTGATAAAAAATCCCAATCTGACACCGTTAAGGCCCGTACACACCGGGACGAATATCAGCGCGCGTTATTCGTCAGCGTTTTTCAACGTGTTTTTTGTGTTCACACCTAAGCGTTTTTCGCTGACGATGAGCCGAGTGAACATGCAAATTCATTCCCTGACATTAGATGGCGCTTAATGTAAAACAGAAATAATAATAGAATACTATACTAGGGTGATCATATTCATGTCTCAATGTTTTATTATGACAGATAAAAAAAAAACGAATGAAATAATGATAGAAATAATGTCTTCTGTATTAGAAAAATAAATATATAAATAATAAATAACTAAAAGAAATGCCTCCAAATGTAACAAAAAATAGCTCTCACAAACTTACAAAAACGAACTAACAAAATCTATTTATATCTTTAGTTTTCATCTTCTTTATCTTGTTGTTCTTCCTCATCCTTGTTTGCCCATCTACATTTTGCTGTAGAACTGATCTTTCCCAGCAGTTTTTTTTTTTTTTTTTTTTTTTTTTTTTGAAAACCAGGACATTTTCATCACTTAAAAACAGCCAGGCCAGGACGTGGAAACAGGACATGTGTAACGCAAAGTTGAGATGTTGCCCAGTGATAAAAACTTAGCACTAGTTGTTGGATGAACAGATGCAGAGACGAGAGTTGTCGTATTTCCCCGCGTTTAATAAAACCACTCAAACGTTACACTCGTCCTCATACATGGGGATCGAGCGAGAAAAAAACACAAACAAACAAACATCTGGTCACAATAGAAAAATAAAATAAAAGAAAGGATACAAAGAGTCGGCAGAGCGGTTATTTATCTCCTCTCCTCACTTATCAAAATCTAACTGACACTACACACTATGCGCAGTTCTCATCTCAACTCAGATTTCTATAAAGCACAAAGTGACCGTTTTACACATGTCCCGGGAAAACAGGACTGTTGGTCACCCTATACTATACTATTATTACAGAAATACTAATATAAATATTATCATATAGCTCTTTATGCTCCGAGACCAGCAGCTCAACATTCATCTTGCCCATAAGTATCTTATCTCTTCTTCGCCGTATGTGTGCTCGGCAAGACCGTTTTGTGTTTGAGCGCCCGTAAGTTGTGTTTTACTGTAACTTCAGAAGTACCAAACACGTGAGCAAACCCGCCAATCTCGTTGGTCGGATAGGTTTTGACGCGGCGCGTCAAACCAAAAAAACGAACCCGAGGCGTTTTTTTTTTTAAATGACGCTTTTACGCGTGGCGTTTTTCGCGTCGTCGTGAACTCACATTGGCGCCCATTGTTTAATCACGAGGCGTTAAACGTCGACGAATATCGCGCGCGAAATTCGTCCCGGTGTGAACAGGCCTTTAGTCCTATATTTTGCGTTTGAATGTACTGAACATCCAAAACACTGCTGTGTGCTGGGCCAAATGCACTCGCTGTATGTGCGTAGCCTGCAAATAATAGTGTTTTGACCAGCCGAGAACTCGTGAAGGGCTTATAAAAGGAGTCAAAACAGCGTCAGGAATCCCTCCGTCACACACACAGAGATCTGCTGCGAGGAGACGCGTATCTGATGCTTCTAACAGAGCAATCGCACCAGAGTTCATTTTAATCCAACCGAACATGCCATGTGTGAACACACCCTTAGATTGCCTCACTGACTCTGGAACTGACTCTTTTACCTAACAGCGTTTTTAAAGAGCTCGTTCAAGCACTGAAGAAATGACGTCATTTATGTAGTTTCCCATTGACTTTTGCTCATAGGTGACCCTGTGGAAGGAGTCAGTGGACGGACAGTGGGCCTGTATCAGTGACGTCAACAAAGGCCAGGGAGCCGTGACCTCCATCACAGACAGCCAACAGAACGAGCAGTGAAGCCTCTCGCCTCCAGTCAGACACCCTTCTGCCTTCAAAGACGTTAGAAGTGCATCTCACTCTCAGGCGGCAGAACTAAAAACTTTTTTTTTTTTTTTTTTGCAACTCTACCCTGATTTTTAGATATTTTCCATTGGTTCATTTACAGGCCAGATGTTTGAGCTGATTTGTATTGTTTGTAAAGATTCTTAACATGTCAATTATTTTGAGAAGAATAAAATTATGATCAATGAAAGCTATTGGACACATTGGACATACATGTGCTTCAAAACATTGAAGAATAAAGTTTTCTACACTAAACTATAACTAACCTGTTTATTAGTATTATATTATATTGTGTAGTTATTAACAATATATTCATTGTATATGTATATATATATATATATATATATATATACATACACACACACACACACACACACACACACACACACACACACACACACACACACACACACACACACTCTCTCTCTCTCTCTCTCTCTCTTCACACACACACATCCACACAAGCATATATATATATATATATATATATATATATATATAGAGAGAGAGAGAGAGAGGGAGCTGTCAAACGATTAATCACATCCAAAATAAAAGTCTGTGTTTGTTTACATTTATATATGTGGGTGCACTGTGTATAATTTTTTTATATATATAAATACACACACGCTTGTATATATTTAAGAAATATTTTCATGTATATACTGTACATAGATTTATATATAATTTATCTATATTTTTATCTAAAAAATATTATTTATATATACAATATTTTTTTCTTAAATTTACATGCATGTGTGTGTATATACGTATATATATATATATAAAATAATTATACATGGTGCACCCACATATATAATGTAAACAAACTTTTATTTTGGATGCGATTAATCGCGATTAATCGTTTGACAGCACTAAATATATTTGTATATAGCATGTGTGTGTATATATATATATATATATATATATATATATATATATATATATAACAATTTGTTATTAATACCATATAAAATATCTCACCACATGGCGATCATTTTAATTAACTTTTAACCCTCATTTTAATGAACTTGGTGCTCTTTGGCATTTTCTGACCGAAAGATTTTACGTATTTTATTCATATGAATTAGCAATCGATTTGACAAAATATAAAATGAATTGCCATATGAGTGTTGGAATTAAATTGGTTGTTAACAGCATTTCATGTTGACTTCGAACCACGTATCAAAATGCAATAGCTGGAGCACCATTAAAAAACTAGTCCATGAGTAAAACTGTTCATCACCTGCATATTTTGTCAAGTAAACATGCAGTCCAAACATCCGTAGTTGTTACCATTACTGTCAGATGAAATTATCCAGATTTTGGTGGAGTTGCCCAAGGATTCAGATCAACGCAGAGCTGCCAACCCTCCTTCGGCCTCCAGTCATGAGTTATGAGTAAAAACATTCATCTGTGTGCCAGCCTCTAATAAGAGGAGTGTCACTTACAATAATGTGTTGATATTTTTTTTAGAAATGCGTATTTTCACACACTGCGCTTGTGGTTTGCAGTTCTGACATGTTTCTTAGTCGTATTACAAAGCCCAAATCACTCATCTTCAGTATGATTTATTGTCATTTTTCAATACACAGTTCTCACTTTCCTTTTAAATTATTTTTGTGTTTATTTTTATTTTTATTTTCCAGTGACCTAGTCAGAACTTGTAGACTGATATTATATAAGTTTTAACCCTCTACATTGTAAAAAAAAAAAAAAAAAGTTGCCACCTTAAATTGGCTTTATGCACAGCCGCACTACCTGTCTACCATTATTGGACAAATTGATTAATCCAGGTGTGTCTGACCTCAGTAGTCAAGGCAACAATAATCAGACTCACCTGAATTAATCAAGTTTGCCCAATAATGGTAGACAGGAAACAAGGAGCTGGCTTAAGTTCAGGAAATAGTGCAGCTGTGCATAAAGCCAATTTACAATCAACTTTGGTTGTTTAAATGATTTCAACTTAAATTACATTAAACCGACTTAAATTTTAAAGAACTGAAAAGTTGAAAAACATTTAACAAGTTAAAGCAATGCAAAAATCTATGTTGTCATAACTTGTTAATTGTTTTAGTTTTTTAACATTGTGTACATTTTATTTACATTTACTTCCAATTCATGTGTATCATTATTTGAATTAATTCATAATAAAAAAATATTACATTTTTGTTATTAAATTCAATATTTAATAATTTAATAAATTACAATAAAAATAGCGGATTAAATATAGTGGAAACACAGAGAATTGTTCGCATAATTTAATTGTACTATTTGTTGTACTGGCTTTAATGATGCTTATTCTAAAAATCCTCACTTTTACTACATTGTAGCAGGTAATATAGGCTATACACATGCAATTTTCTTCATGCAAAATATAGTTTCATTATTTAAGAAAAAGTTGAAAATGTTTTCATAAAGTAATTAAAGCAATTTTAAAAATATTTTACATTTCCATAATCCAATATTTCGTATTATAATCTTTTAAATATCCATAATATTATAGGCAGCTCCTCAGAGCCCGTCATAAGGTAAGGGTTAACCCGTTCGCTGTGGCATATTGCGTGGATCTGAGAGTGTGCCGGCGGTCCACGCGTTTCACACACTTTGGAGAGGCGGTGACACTCCGTGAGTCATTTGCGCTCCGGTCTCAGGAGTGACAGCTGATGCCCGCTCATGGACCACTGCATGCACACCACAGGATCTGTCCACGATACACCTGATTTCCGACACCATTCCCCAACCATCATCGTCACAAACCAGTGTCCGTTTCTGCTTCTCTCCGCATAACGCATTACTCTTAGTTATCTGCCATGCCAAGCTGGAGGAGAAACCTGACTTTTTGCCTGCAGAGAATGCACGACGAAGGTAAGTGAACTGATGTCACCACTTATGAATCGAGTTTCGTGCGTACCATCGCTTCTGACGTTAGATGCGCAAATGTTAGCTCTGTTAATTCTCAGTGTCTGCTGCTCTGAACCCACGTGTTAATGAAGTGGCAGGTGTTTTCAATTGCTTTGTATCTCTACATGATGTCTAAAATTGTGTTTCAATCTAATTGTGTAGTGCCCCAGGACAAAGCCTTGAGGTTCCCCTCGATAAATGTTGGGTGATTCCTATTGTGTCGTACTTTTTCATGCCTTAATATACTGGATGAACATTGTGTGACTTTTAAGTAATTGAACTTTGAATTAAGGGGATGTTGTCAATTTTGACATGTCCATAAAGCAACTTATAACATCGAATTACTTCAAGCTAAACTAAATATAAATATATAATTTTTATTTTGTAATTAATTGATACTCTATGATACATTTGTATTCACCAGGGTACTATATATATAGGACTGGGCAATGATTAATCGCAATTAATCGTATCCTAAATTAAAGTTTGTGTTTACATAATATATGTGTGTGTAGTGTGTATAATTATTTTGTATATATAAATACACACACATGCATGTATATATTCAAGAAATATTTACATGTAAATACTGTATATATATTTATACATAATTTATATTAAATATATAAATATTAATATTTTATATATTAATAATAAATTTTTCTTAAATATATACATGCATGTGTGTGAATTTTTATATACAAAATAATCATATACCGTACACACACATATATTATGTAAACACAAACTTTTATTTTGGATTCGATTAATCGCGATTAATCGTTACCCAGCCCTAATATATATATAGTCCATAGCCTGGAGGTATTCCTGAGCTCCTACCATGTCCAAGGCTAAATGAGTTTTGCCCCAGTACATAGCCTTGAGGCACTCCTCGGCATCTTGATCAGCGATGTTCAAAATAATATTGTAATGCAGCTTGGGGGTGTTTTTTTTTTTATTTTATTTTAATCAAAGTTGAACGACTAAATGTTCATTGCCCGCAGGGGAGAGATTTTGTCACTTAACTTGCCTTAACTCTCTTTATCTCTTGTGTAAAACATCTCATGAACTGTGCCTGAAGAGAGCTGATAATGTCAGAGAGTTCAGTGTGAAGCCATGGCATTGCAGATGCTTTTAAAATTGAAGTTGATCACAATCAGTAAATGACATAAGTTACTTGATAATAAACACAGTTAGTCACCAAACACAAAAACAAGGAGAAAATTGCATTCGTATTCTGTTTTTCCATCTCTCATTCAGGAGCTTAATCCTCTTATCAGAATTTGAATTCCAAGACTCAAGATCCCATTAATCATAAGAACCCAGTTCAATTAGAATAGCGAGGATTAATTTGCAGTTTATCGACTGAGTGTGCATTTGGAGGAAGTTGTTGCACTGATAGAGCGTTGCCTGATCATATCTGGTGGTGGCTGCGGCAGCATTTCTGGACAGAATCCCACGCCTCGCTCCAGCAGAATTGATCGTAGCTGCATGACGGCTTATAAACCTTGAACTGAGATCTGCACCAGGGTTTTGTCCTTTTGCTTTTTAAGGTTAGGTTTTGTGTGTGTGTGGTGTGTGTGTTTCATCACTGAGTCTAGGATTGGAAATGGCACTTCAGAAATATTTGCTCTGTCTTGTGTCTCAGAGTGGGACGAGGTTAGAGGGCAGAATGCTCATTTGCCCTACGCTATAGAGCCGTCATCTTCCTCCTCCTATTTTTAGAGAGCTATTGAATCGCATGTATGTTAAATACCAAAGGGCTATGCCCTGTTGCTGAAGTCCAGTCATAGCAAACATAGTTTGACAAACCACAGAGGGATTGTCTCGACCTTCTGGAGTCAACACTTTTTTATGGCTTGTTTTGAAAATGTTATTATGGAGGCAGTCATATAAGGTTAAATGTGTTTGTCAAAATGCATATGTTTTATTTTGAACACTGCAAGCCTCAAATGGTTATTGGGGAGGGTTAGGGTGTGCCTAAACCTCCAAGCTCCTCCCATTAAGCCCAGAGAGGGGCGGAGCCTCCGCTAGACATCAAGGCTGCGTCCATTCTGTGATAGTTGAGCTACAAAAATAAATATGGCGTCTGCAAGTTGCGGCTGGTCATCGGTTTGTGTGTAAATGACAATTTTTTGATCAATGTTTTCCACTTATGAAATTGCTATTGTAGTCATTAAATATTCACTTAGTTTTCACCAAAGCTCGCTCTGGCAACAAATCAGTTGTACATTTTCAGCTGGCTTTGTCTGCAGTCACCAGCATATATCTGCGAAACTGTTGCTCTTTGTGTTATTATGGATTCGGATGGTCGAATACACACTTAAGTATTAAAGTATGAAAGACTGAGGCCGTCAACT